AGAAGAGTAATCACTGGAAGTGTACAAGTGAGAAGAGTAACCAACAGACCCCTGGCAGTCTTCAAGCTGGCACTGGACAAGCACCTAAAGTCAGTTCCTGATCAGCCGGGCTGTGGCTCGTACGTTGGTTTGCGTGCAGCCAGCAGCAACAGCCTGGTTGATCAGGCGCTGATCCACCAGGAGGCCTGGTCACAGACCGGGCCGCGGGGGCGTTGACCCCCGAAACTCTCTCCAGGTAAACTGGAAGTGTACAAGAAGAGTATCGCTGTAAGTATACAAGTGGAAAGAGTAATCACTGGAAGTGTACAAGTAGGAAGAGTAATCACTGTAAGTGTACATGTAGGAAGAGTAATCACTGGAAGTGTACAAGTAGGAAGAGTAATCACTGTAAGTGTACAAGTAGGAAGAGTAATCACTGGAAGTGTACAAGTGGGAAGAGTAATCACTGTAAGTGTACAAGTAGGAAGAGTAATCACTGTAAGTGTACAAGTGGGAAGAGTAATCACTGTAAGTGTACAAGTGGGAAGAGTAATCACTGGAAGTGTACAAGTGGAAAGAGTAATCACCGTAAGTGTACAAGTGGGAAGAGTAATCACTAGAAGTGTACAAGTGAGAAAAGTAATCACTGGAAGCGTACAAGAAGAGTATCGCTGTAAGTATACAAGTGGGAAGAGTAATCACTGGAAGTGTTCAAGTGGGAAGAGTAATCGCTGGAAGTGTGTAAGTTTATTTAGGTACAGGTACACACAAGTACAGTTATACTTAGTGAAAATTACCTAGGATAGCCCCAAAAAGTCAGACAAAGTGACTTATTTCCATTGGGATCCTTGGCTTATTTCCATTGGGGTACTTATTTCCATTGGGGTCCTTGACTTATTTTCATTGGAATCCTTGACATTTCTATTGGGGTCCTTGACTTATTTCCATTGTGGTCCTTTATTTCCATTGGGGTCCTTGACATATTTCCATTGGGTTCCTTGACTTATTTCCATTGGGGTACTTAACTTATTTCCATTAGGGTCCTTGACTTATTTCCATTGGGGTCCTTGACATATTTCCATTGGGTTCCTTGACTTATTTCCGATGGGTCCTTGACTTATTTCTATTGAGTCCTTGGCTTATTTCCATTGGGGTCCTTGACTTATTTCCATTACAAGTGAGTAGTGAGCAAAATGCTCGCTGGAGGTGGGTAGCGTGTAGAATATTCCCTAGAAATGATCGCCGGTGAGAGTGATCGCTGGCAAGAGATGAAGTGGTCGCTGGCGGGTGTTCGGTGTGTTCCAGCCTGGCCCCGGGAACTGGTCGCTGGGAGGCGGTGGCCGCCAGCGACCTCCATCAGAAAGCAGCAAAACAGAAGCAGCAGCAGCAGCTCGAATGCTTCCCACCAGCTCTCCACCATGGTGGGTACCCCAGTGCTGGGGCAGGTGGCTGCAGCTGCCACCACCTGTCACCACCTGTTACATACCACCTGCTACAACTCTGCCACACTGGCTGTAAATAAATATAATGTCAGGTTCACCCGTGCCTGACAAAACTGAATTCTAAATTTATCAGACACTGTTCGTATTTCTCACATTTACCTTGTGAAATACTTGCATTTTCCAAGGTGTTTGCACATATCTGGCACATACTTTGCCATGGTATACCAATTTGGTATACCCGGTGGAGGGTATAACATGCATGGAAACACTCATCTCTCGACTGCATGATGAGGCAATTTATTTTATATTTTACTTTATATTATACAAATAATGTTCGTATGAAAAAAATTACATTGTTGCATATTACATATAATCAGCACAGACAATTTTGACAGTTTATAATGATTTAACTAAGAATATTCAAAGAAAGTGACCCTTGTAGGTCACTTTCTTAGAATATGTATATTTTTCAATTTAATACTGCAATTATTTTTTTCTCTGTTATTAGGGTGTCACCAAAGCACCATTTGGTGTGACCATTGACTGGATGGGTGACCACATAACATCCTGTCTCCTGATTGTAATATTCACAATTGTTCTAGTCATAGAACAATAACAAGCATTTATCTAACCCAGAATAACAAAACCAGAGTAATGAAAACAATTTATTAAGTTTTTATCCATAATATTGTTTCATGACATTTTTTTGGGTCTAACACTTGTCTTCATGAATGTTTGAAATATCAGCTGCATCCTCTGAATCATTACCTTTCAGTCACTAAGTATTATCAGTAAGTAAAAGTTTAAAGTTAATAGGTATATCATTTACATAGGACAAGAATATTAGGGGAACAAAGATACAACTTTATGGACCTCCATATGATGATAAAAGAAATTCTGATTCACTATTATTAACTTTCATGATGTATATTTTTTCTGGTGCTTAGGTAATACTTGAGCCATTCTTAATAGATCCTGTGGGCATTAAGTGCCAGTCTGCAAGTCTTGTCAGGTTGTCCGAATAAGACTTGTATGCCAACTTTTTTCAGATACTTTCGATGCCCACCCTTCTCCCTGACAGTCCCATCTTGGAGGCAGATACTCTTTAATTTCATAATTTCACTGAGTTACTGCATCTTGTAACTTTTATCCAGTATCCTCTCAGTACCACTTTTTCCCATCTGTCTCACCTTTGTCATACAGTGGTGAATGACCATTATGGGCTTAGTCCTTTACATGAATACGTATATAATAATAAAATGATGTATGTACCTATTTATTGCTAGGTGAATGGGTTCATTAGGTTTAGGGGATTTTCCATACAATTTGCTCTGTCCATAATTTGGAGTCCAGGAACTTATGGTTGTGAGCAAAATGCTCTGACCACAAAGCTGCAGAATGCTTTCTCTGTACGTTGTTTGCACATACGTACACTATTTTGGAACTGGTTATATTACTATGTAAGTTTTAAAGCATCACAGTCAGTAATCTATGACAAAATGTGGTCTTGATTATGATCAAAATTTGAAGTTAGTCAAAAATAGAACCTTTCCATTATGACATGCATAATATCCAACACAGTAACAAATGTCAGCTTTTGAAAGTGTCCTGGAACATAATATCTATACCTAATGGCCACCTCCAGTATCACCTAGCTGGATTTCACCAGCAGAGTTTTTGCACTTGCATCAGTATATTTACTGAATTTGAATGCACTTAGACTACTTATTTTGCAAACATCATTTACTGGATAAGTTTAATCACTGTGTTGGAGTTGATACCCATATTGTACAATAAATGGCACTGATAAATATAGTACAGTACTTAAGTTGGGTTAGTTCAGAAATTTGAAATTCTCTGCAGTTATAGCTGGGTGATGTCATAAGCATCATAGTACAGTGCTTTATAAACAAAATTGAGTTTTTTTGACAACAGGTCAGGAGCCAAGAAGCATAAAAAAAGTGGCTGGACTTTTCAAGTACAGTGGACCCTCGGTTATTGGCCATTCCACTTATCGGCCATCTCGGTTATCGGTCGGTTTATTGGCTTCCGGTTATCGGCCGTTATTTCGCTTATCGGCTGTACGGACGCATCAACCCGTCATTGCCAGCCACTCGCTCGTCACTCTGGCTGTGTGTCTGGGCGAGTGAGGAAACTTCTGTTCAGTCATCCAAATATTTCAATATAATCCATTGTTTTTCATGGGTATTGATTAAGTGCAACTGCGAAACAAGTAACCATGGCCCCAAAGAAAGTTCCTAGTAAAATTCCTTTGGTAAAGAAAGTGAAAAACATGATGGAATTTAGAAAAGAAGTTATTGAAAAATATGAGAGTGGTGTGCAGGTGCTGGAACTTGCCAGGATGTATGGGAAAAACAAATCAACACTCACTTCTATCCTGGCAAAGACAGTAGAAATCAAAGAAGCTAATGTTGTGAAAGGAGTAAATGTGCTAATGAAATAAAGGTCACCAATAAATCCTCCCTCTCTCTTCCTCCCTATCTTCCATAAGCCAACAAGAGTTTTCAATAAAGGTATGTAACAGTGATTTAATGGTTCATGTATTTATTTTATTTAGTTCTCATTGTTTTGTGTATGTAAAACTATAATTAATCTTAACAAAAATTATTTTTTATGAATGTTTTTGGGTGCCTGAAATGGATTAATTGTATTTTCATTAATTCTTATGGGAAATATTATATCGGTCTTCGGCCATTTCGGTTTTAGGCCGACGTTCAGGAACGGATTACAGCCAATAACTGAGGGTCCACTGTACATATTTCCAAGACTAATTGTGCTTAGTGTCATGCCATACATTTGTTTTGTGTATAAATTTGTTCAAGTCAAGTATTATGAATCTCCATGTACAGTGGACCCCTGGTTTACGATCAGCTCCCAATGCGACCAATTATGTAAGTGTATTTATGTAAGTGCGTTTGTATGTGTATGTTTGGGGGTCTGAAATGGACTAATCTAATTCCCAATATTCCTTATGGGGACAAATTCATTCAGTACTGGCACCTGAACATACTTCTGGAATGAAATAATATCGTAAACCGGGGGTCCACTGTACTTGTATTAACGTTGGTAGCATTAGTGATGATATGTAAAGGTAAAAAGGATATTTTATTGTGCCAATGTTTTGCTCTTCAGGAGCTTTGTCAAGCCATAACGGCTGGTTTCTTGAGACTTAATTTTGTTTTTTGAGTCAGCTTTTGCACTGTGTTATATCAAAATATAACATTACTGCTGCTGTTTAGGAAACATATTGCTGTACCTGTTAATTGAACATAGAGACATTTCATACAGTTCTACTGTACAGCCTCTCCTCACTTAACACCGGAGTTCCGCTCTGTTCCATTCATTAAACGAATTCATCGCTAAATGAGGAGCATACTAGCCTACCATCCACTTACGACCTGCTCGACATACGACCACTCGACTTACGACCGTGTTTTTTATGCCAAATTTCTGGGAAATAAACAACTGTTTGTGTTGTATACAGTGTTTATCCTAAACCTTACAGTATAAAATACAGTACTAACAGCATAAAAAGTAAAGTAAAAAATGGAACACCAAAATAAAACAATAAAATAAAGTCATTTAAAAATGTGATGTTGATATTCAGTAGTAAAGTTCGACTTACGTCCATTTTGACTTACGACTGGTTGGTCGGAACCAAGCTCGGTCGTAAGTCGGATGGTAGGTGTATAATGTTAGTGAGTTTGTGTCAACCATTTTTGATATTGTTTTACTGTCACCTTTGCACCATTTATAACATTTCTGGTATATTTTTAAATGTTTATACAGTAGTGTACTATATATTGAAATAAACAGAATAGAGGAAATCAGCTCTAATATACATTATTTAGGTATGAATACTGGTCAGAGGGCCCATTGTAAGTTCAAGGCATCGGTAAACGAGTATGTCGCTAAGTGAGGAGAGGCTGTACTGTATTGCTAAACATCAAATACATATTTGCCAATATGTAGTCTTTGATCTTTACAATGATAACATTACCCTATGTCATCTCACTATAAAATATGTTCTGTACTGTAGTTAGTTGCTGGCAACAGTGGTCTGGCAGTACATGTATATTGTATACCATTATTGGGTATTGTATTTCAAAAAAATTATGCTGTGAATATTTTTTTTATATCCTGATGCTATTAAAATTAATACCGTAATATAAATTTATTGGGGTACTCTATGTATGTATTTTTTTGGGGTAATCTTACCTCGGTTGGAGAAGGCCAGTGTTAAAAAAATACGTATGTGTCTTTTCAAGGATTTAATTGTCCCTTGTGGGGATTTTTTTTTCATTCTTGCTTGTACTTTTTCAGATTATACGCATACAGTCACCCGAGGGCACCAAACGAGTGGAAACAAAACCAACAGATTCCACAAAGACTTTGTACGAAAAAGTCCGTACAACATTTAATTTGTCAAGCTCCGGTTTTGCTTTGTATCTTGGCCGTGAAAAAAAAAATGAATTACTTTCGTCTCCTCGGAAAACCCTTAAAGGATACAAATTGAATCATGGGGATATGATTTATCTTCACTTTGCAAATGATGGTGGTAAGTATTTAAACATAACAGTGTACTCTAGAGTAAAAGTTATGCGAGTTATGGAAGAATAATCAAACTACTACAGTATTATACTCATTATGCTCTTGTGTACTGTATATATACTGTACAATACTTGTTTTAACCAGCATCTTGGAAGGGTAAGGTGAAGAAGCACATATGAAAAGGATTTCATGAGGAAGTAGAACAAGGTAGCAGATTATACTTAGATAAATGGATATATACATATAATACACACCTTAAGGTGTGTATTATATATCTGGTGTTAACACCAGACTTGATCAAGTCATTCAACTAGCAGAGCAATATAGAACTTTCAAGACAACTGACTCTCAAGTTCCTTGGAGAAAATTGGGAGTTTTAAGAAACTTAAGGATTGGGTTATCCTAGGTAATCTATACATATGCTGCTGTATGATAATTTATGTAACTGTATTTATGTGTATCTGTACCTGAATAAATTTACTCAGCCAATCCCTTGATGTTGGTGAAGGGCTCTTCAACTAAGGACTTTGAGCTACCAATCCCTTTTCTTGGAGTAAGTTTGATTTATTGGCTACTCCCCAGGAACAGTATATTCCCTATAGGTTTAGAAATTCTGTGATTGTAATAATAATTAACCATGGGCATCTTTTGGAAGTGAGGCAGTTGAGCATCACTGGATCAGGTTTGTATTAGAAAGAAAATCATAAAGCTACTAATCTAATCTAACCTAACCTAACTAAATCAAATCTAATCTGACATAACTAACTGATGGGGTTTGGCTTTAGTTTACACTTCTACTGAGGGAGTTGTGTCTGGGTGGGTTAAGTCCCAGGAGGTTTTGTCCCAAGGGCAGGGAAGGTTTGGATGAACCCTAGAGCAAGTAGCATAAGTTACAGTTGTAGGAAATACATCACTTTATCTTGAACCTATACAATATACACTGTCTACCTCATTTGTCTATATTGGATTGATAAAGCCCCCTGGTGGGCAAAATGTGTCCTTAACAAATGTCTTACTACTACTTTTGTCAGTGTTTAACACCATTTGCAACCAGTTATTACAATATTAATGATTTCCTAACAGGTGGATGTAGTAATGTGTCAACAGCAGACAGAAAGACTAGCAGCAGCCAGGATAGTGGGAAGGTAATTGTGCCTGTTCCAACACAGCAAGTGGCATCCAGCATTAAGAGCTTGGTGGAAGAAGACGAAGTAGACCAGATTCTGGCCAAAGAGGATGGCAAAATTGCTAGAAAAATAAATCCTCAATTGTGAGTTGTTTATAAATCAATGTCAGTGCATATACAATGCACAAATAACCTGCACATAGGAGAAAGAAACTAATGACAACATTTTGGTCCAACTTGGACCATTGACGAGTCATGATAATGCATGAAGGCGAGCCATTATATATAGGAGAGGAGGACAGGGACTGGCCAAAGAGAGGACTGAAATGTCGCTATAAATTTCTTTCTTCTATGTGAAGGTTATTTGTGTATTGTTCCAATCATGGTATTGTGCCTTTCTGTTCTTTATCTTGAAGGAAATGATAATAAAAGAAGCCATACTTAGAAAATACGGCAAACTTGGCCTTTAACCATGATGAATTTTGATGATATGAAGACAATATCAAAACTTTTCCATTCTGCTATACTGTCCTTTTTTATCAGTTTGTCAGTTTTACAACTTCTTTCCCATGATGAATTGTGTTTGTTTATTATTAGTTTTGTAATATGTGTTTTAAGTATTAAATAACATACTGTAACAATGGTTATTAAAATATCACAATTGTATAAGTGTAGAGACTAAGTATTAGTTTGAGTTGTGTATAATAACTTCTCATAAGATACCAAAATTGTAACTATAAATTTATTGTGTTATCCCTAGATTAGCTTAACTTTCAAAGCTGCTGGGCAAGAGATACCGTGATCATGAGGGCGGTTGTCCCAGGGTGAGGCTCACCATCGCACTCCGATGGTGTTGACCCCTACAATTAACCCAAATGCGGTTAACTCGAGAGCGGAATTTTTGTTTGCAGGGGACTGTATTTTTTCTATCCCCTTATTATATAAAAATAGACTCCCAGCAAGAGGGTACCGGACAGGCACCTAAAGTCAGTACCCGACCAGCTGGGCTGTGGTGCCTACGTCAGTTTGTGTGTGGCCACCAGTAACAGCCTGGTTGATCAGGCCCTGATCCACCATGAGGCCTGGTCATGAACCAGGCCACGGGGGCGTTGATCCCTGGAATGCCCTCCAGGTATACTCTGGGTAACTTGATATGAAAACCAAAGCAAATGTTTAGGAAATACAAATTTTGTTAGTTGTCCTGCTTAAATGTAATTTTAATAGAAGTTGGTTTCTCTGCCCTTACTTTTCTGATTGAGTTTGTGTCTGCCTGCAAACATGCTCATGGGTTTTAAGATAACTGATCTAGTCTGTTATTCCAGATGTCGTCATGGTGCGAATAGTAAATGCGTTCACTGTATTCCTTTGGATCCCTGGGACGAAAATTACTTGAAGGAACAGAACATTAAGCACCTTTCATTTAATTCATATTTAAGAAAGCTCACTTCTGGTGTGGACAAGGTAAGAATGACCAAGCTTCATGATTTTGATTAGGTAAATGTACTTAATGTACATGCAACATACGAGTCATTTATTATGGCCACAGTTTTTCCAGGGGCTTTGCTGGGCCAGTTTGAATATTACATGGACATAATGAGTATATGTAAGGCAGTACACTACAGGTATGGCAGTACACTAAAGGTATGACAATACACTACACGTGTGACAATACACTACACATGTGACAACACACTACACGTGTGACAATGCACTACAGGTATGACAATAAACTGCCAACAAATGATGGACTAAAGACAAATTTGACAGATATGACATTTTAGACAAATAAATAGGGTGCTACCAGTTCAGTCAGAAAATGTAGTGGTAATGTGTGAGATACATAATTTTTTCATCTTGATACGAATAATTACAGTTTATTATTTCAATATGTTATATGGCAAATTAATTTAGAAGGTGCTTGATCTTCCAGGTTTTAATTGCTTTATTGGCTTGTGGTTACAGATAATGCAACATAAGTGAAAACAGCTGTTGTAATCATCTACAGATATAAAGAATTGATAGCAACTTTTTTTTTTTTTTCAACGAGTCGGCCGTCTCCCACTGAGGCAGAGTGACCCAAAAAGAAAGAAAATCCCCAAAAAGAAAATAATTTTATCATCATTCAACACTTTCACCTCACTCACACATAATCACTGTTTTTGCAGAGGTGCCCAGAATACAACCGTTTAAAAGTATATATGTATAAAAATACAAAATATATCCCTCCAAACTGCCAATATCCCAGACCTCTCCTTTAGAGTGCAGGCATTGTAATTCCCATTTCCAGGACTCAGGTCCGGTTATATAAAATAACCGGTTTCCCTGAATCCTTTCACTAAATATTACCCTGCTCACACTCCAACAGCTCGTCAGATCCCAAATACCATTTGTCTCCATTCACTCCTATCTAACACGCTCATGCACACTTGCTGGAACTCCAAACCCCTCGCCCACAACACCACCTTTACCCCCTCCCTCCAACCTTTTCGAGGATGACCCCTACTCCACCTTCCTTTTCCTACAGATTTATACACTCTCCATGTCATTCTACTTTGATCCATTCACTCTAAATGACCAAACCACCTCAACAACCCCTCTTCAGCCCTTTGACTAATACTTTTATTAACTCCACACCTTCTCCTAATTTCCACACTCCGAATTTTCTGCATAATATTTACACCACACATTGCCCTTAGACAGGACATCTCCACTGCCTCCAACTGCCTCCTTGCTGCAGCATTTATAACCCAAGCTTCACACCCATATAAGAGTGTTGCTACTACTACTATGCTTTCATACATTCCCTTCTTTGCCTCCATAGATAACATATTTTGCCTCCACATATACCTCAATGCACCACTCGCCTTTTTTTTACTTCATCAATTCTATGATTAACCTCATCCTTCATAAATCCATCCGCTGACACATCAACTCCCAAATATCTGAAAACATTCACTTCTTCCATACTACTACTCCCCAATTTGATATCCAATTTTTCTTTATCTAAATCATTTGATACCCTCATCACCTTACTCTTTTCTGTGTTCACTTTCAACTTTCTACCTTTACACACACTCCCAAATTCATCCACTAACATTTGCAATTTTTCTTTAGAATCTCCCATAAGCACAGTATCATCAGCAAAAAGTAACTGTGTCACTTCCCATTTTGTATTTAATTCCCCATAATTTAACCCCACCCCTCTCCCGAACACCCTAGCATTTACTTCTTTTACAACCCCATCTATAAATATATTAAACAACCATGGTGACATTACACATCCCTGTCTAAGACCTACTTTTACCGGGAAGTAGTCTCCCTCTCTTCTACACGCCCTAACCTGAGCCTCACTATCCTCATAAAAACTTTACAGCATTTAGTAACTTACCACCTATTCCATATACTTGCAAAATCTGCCACATTGCTCTCCTATCCACTCTATCATATGCTTTTTCTAAATCCATAAATGCAATAAAAACTTCCTTACCTTTATCTAAATACTGTTCACATATATGCTTCACTGTAAACACTTGATCTACACATCCCCTACCCACTCTAAAACCTCCTTGCTCATCTGCAATTCTACATTCTGTCTTACCTCTAATTCTTTCAATAATAACCCTACCGTACACTTTTCCTGGTATACTCAGTAAACTTATTCCTTTATAATTTTTACAGTCTCTCTTGTCCCCCTTCCCTTTATATAAAGGGACTATACACGCTCTCCGCCAATCCCTAGGTACCTTCCCCTCTTTCATACATTTATTAAACAAAAATGCCAACCACTCCAACACTATATCCCCCCTGCTTTTAACATTTCTGTCATGATCCCGTCAGTTTCAGCTGCTTTACCCCCTTTCATTCTACGTAATGCCTCACGCACCTCCTCCACACTCACATCCTGCTCTTCTTCACTCCTTAAAGATAGTATACCTCCCTGGCCAGTGCATGAAATTACCGCCTCCCTTTCTTCGTCGACATTTAAAAGTTCCTCAAAATATTCTCGCCATCTACCCAATACCTCCATGTCCCCATCTACTAACTCCCCTAATCTGTTTTTAACTGACAAATCCATTTGTTCCCTAGGCTTTCTTAACTTGTTTAACTCACTCCAAATTTTTTTCTTATTTTCATTAAAATTTCTTGACAGTGCCTCTCCTACTCTATCATCCGCTCTCCTTTTGCACTCTCACCACTTTCTTCACCTTTCTTTTACTCTCCATATACTTTACTCTTCTTATAACACTTCTTCTTTGTAAATACCTCTCATAAGCTACCTTTTTCTCTTTTATCACACCCTTTTCTTCATCATTCCACCAATCACTCCTCTTTCCTCCTGCACCCACCCTCCTATAACCACAAACTTCTGCCCCACATTCTAATACTGCATTTTTAAAACTATTCCAACCCTCTTCAACCCCCCCACTACTTATACTTGCACCAGCCCACCTTTCTGCCAATAGTTGCTTATATTTCACCCGAACTTCCTCCTCCCTTAGTTCATACACTTTCACCTCCCTCTTACTTGTTGTTGCCATTTTCCTCTTATCCCATCTACCTCTTACTCTAACTGTAGCTACAACTAAATAATGATCCGATATATCAGTTGCCCCTCTATGAACGTGTACATCCTGGAGCCTACTCATCAACCTTTTACCCACCAATACATAATCTAACAAACTACTTTCATTACGTGCTATATCATGCCTTGTATATTTATTTATCCTCTTTTTCATAAAATATGTATTACTTATTACCAAACCTCTTTCTACACATAGCTCAATTAAAGGCTCCCCATTTTCATTTACCCCTGGCACCCCAATTTTACCTACTATTCCCTCCACAACATTTTTACCCACTTTAGCATTAAAATCCTCAACCACAAGTACTCTCACACTTGGTTCAAAATTCCCCACGCACTCACTCAACATTTCCCAAAATCTCTCTCTCTCCTCTATACTTCTCTCTTCCCCAGGTGCATATATGCTTACTATAACCCACTTCTCACATCCAACCTTTATTTTACTCCACATAATCCTTGAATTAATACATTTATAGTTCCTCTTCCTGCCATAGCTTATCCTTCAACATTATTGCTACTCCTTCTTTAGCTCTAGCTCTATTTGAAACCCCTGACCTAATCCCATTTATTCCTCTCCACTGAAACTCACCCACCCCCTACAGCTTTGTTTCACTTAAACCCAGGACATCCAGCTTCTTCTCATTCATAACATCCACAATCATCTCTTTCTTATCATTTGCACAACATCCATTCACATTCAGAGTTCCCACTTTGACAATTTTCTTCTTATTCTTTTTAGTAATTATTACAGGAAAAGGGGTTACTAGCTCATTGTGCCTGGCATTTTAGTTGACTTTTACAACACGCATGGCTTACGGAGGAAAGATTCTTATTCCACTTCCCCATGGATATAAAAGGAAAAGTAATAAGAACAAGAACTAAGATAAAATTAAAGAAAACTCAGATTAGTGTGTATAAATAAACGTGTACATATAGGTTTAGTGTGACCTAAGTGTAAGTAGAAGTAGCAAGATGTACTTATAAATTCTTGAAGAGTTATTGGCTTCCCTAATTTTTTTAATGGCATGTGAATGTTAGGTGCAAACTGACTTTGTTTTTTAAATTTATACTTAAGGAAAGCTTTCCTTTTTATCGTCTTCTAAACAACTCTTGTATGTTCTGGCTCAAGCTCATACTCTTCTTTAAAACCCATGGATAAATGTGTATGAACATTAAAATGGTATAAAATACCGACAGGTTGTTAGGTAAGACACATATGCAACAGTTAGGTATCTTTATTTCGAAACGTTTCGCCTACACAGTAGGCTTCTTCAGTCGAGTACAGAAAAGTTGATAGAAGCAGAAGAGACTTGAAGACGATGTAATCAGTCCGTCACCCTTAAAGTTTTGAGGTGGTCAGTCCCTCAGTCTGGAGAAGAGCATTGTTCCGTAGTCTGAAACATATGTCTTACCCACATAAATGTGTATACACATTGTTTTGGCAGTAATCATTCCAAAACATCTGTGTGCTTACAAAATAACTCATGTTTTCTACTAGCAGTAAAGATAGTTGATATAATTTTATTATTGATTTTTTGTGTGAATTTCATTTTATTCTTTCAGGGAAAGTTTGTTGTACTAGATGATATCAGCTGTAAAATCAAGAGTGGATGTAAAGATCATTCTCCTTGGCCAAAAGGAATTTGTTCCAAGTGCCAGCCCTCTGCTATTACTCTAAATCGACAATCATACCGCCATGTGGATAATGTTATGTTTGAAAACCCTAACCTAGTAGAGCGCTTTCTCAATTACTGGCGAGTTACAGGACATCAACGTGTGGGCTTTTTGTATGGCCATTATGAGCCTCACTTAGATGTACCACTGGGAATTAAGGCCACTGTAGCAGCTGTTTATGAGCCACCTCAAGAAGGATCCAGAGATCATGTGAAACTTTTACCTGATCCAAAGAAGGAAATTGTTGATGAAGTAAGCATAAGATTTTTTTTTTGTATGTCATTGTACATTCAATTATGCAACATTCTACTGTTGCAGTGCTCCTTTTTCTTGTCCTTAGACTTCCTTTACTACTACTACTACTACTACTACTACTACTACTACTACTGCTGCTACTGCCGCCACCTCGCTGCACTCTACTCTCTGACTCTTGTATCACTACCCCTACCTACTACTTCTATGATCTCTACTATCACTACTTCCTTCATTTTATTATTTCTTCTTCCTCTTTCTCATCCCCACCCCCTCTCGTATGTAAACTGGCTCCCTACCTTCATGCTTGTGTATGTAACTAGTTAATGGTCCAACCTAAACTGAAACGTCGTCACAGTTTCTCCTATGTGCGGGTTATTTGTATATTCTGTTGTATTCAGTTTTAAAATTGATTGTTGTTAAATTAAATATTTTAGTAAATCAGCATCAGTATATATTTGTCTTCAGAAGAGAGGCACATATAGAGACCAAATATGATTGTTGACATTAATGTGCTATCAATTTCATTAGAACAGTTATCAAAATTGGTGTGATGGATGGGTAGGTAATGGTATGAGATACCATTATGATGGTTAACCCTTTCAGGGTTTCGGACGTACTAGTATGGCTTACACACCAGGGTTTTTGACGTATTAATATGCCTAAATTCTAGCACCTTCAAATCTAGTGAGAGAAAGTTGGTAGGCCTACATATGAAAGAATGGGTCTGTGTGGTCAGTGTGCGCAGTATAAAAAAAATCCTGCAGCACACAGTGTGTAATGAGTAAAAAAAAACTTTGACCGTGTTTTTGGATTAAAACAGCGACTTTGCACTGTATTTTCGTATGGTAATTATTGTTGTATTCTAGTTTTCCTGGTCACATTTCATAGAATGGAAGACATATTACAGAAATTGAGATGATTTTGACTGCTTTACAGTGAAAAGTACCTTGAAATTGAGCTCAAAGTAGGAGAAATGTTCGATTTTTATTAAAGTTCAAAAGTAAACAAATTATGCTAAGTGTCCAGTACACGTCAACTGGTGAGTAATATTCTTTCACAAGTTCGCCGATATTATTTATACCATTTCTACACTAATGCAGTAGTCTGCATGACAGTAAATCTTCTATTTTTTGTGAGAATAAAAATTCAAAGTGGAAAGCAAAAGAATGTAAGAGGGGCATGGGGACGTGACTAATGAACAGAGGAAATGTTATTTTAGTGCCAGGAATGTCTTTCTTGTTTATTCTGGACCCTATTTGGAAATTGGCATCTTTTGAAATTTGTGTGAAATTGGCAAAATTGCTAAATTCTTACCACTGTATTGGATAGTTGAAATCGGTAAATGGGTGGTTTCTTGTACTCATTCGATAGAAAAAAATGGAGTTCTAGCAAAATAGTTATGAATTTTGTCGACTAGTACACTGGAATTGGCTGAAAATAGGGCTCAAAGTGGGCAAAATCACAATGCGTAAACATCGTCGAGACCGCTAACTTCGCGAGAGCATAATTTCCATCAAATATCGTACTTTTGGTGTCATTATGATCGGAAAAAGATTCTCTATCTTTTCATAAGAAGATTTTTTTTTTTTTTTTTTTTTTTTTTTTTTTTTTTTTTTTTTTTTTTTTTTTTTTGAAATTTGGGAGACCCTGAGAACAAGTCTGGGAGAGGGCCTGGGGACCCTGAAAGGGTTAAGAGAGAGTAATGCAGTTATGTGGAATTTTTATTGATGCTTTGCCCATGCAGTGGGCTTTATTAAATCACAGAGAGATGAACTTGGTATGGGAGGGAGAGCTTCAAAAGTAGTCATTATTAATGAGGTGAAGAGCAGGTGGTATGTGCATCAGGTCACATCAATTCCCAAACATCCTACGAGTTTTCTGGTAGAGATACTGTACTGAAGGCAGGGAGAATGAGAATATACACTTCTGGATGACCAAGGAATTAGAATAGATGTTGATAGAGGATTGGATCCCCTCTGCCAGCTTTGTCGAAAAAGTTGTATCAAGATTTCAATGTGGGGCAAGTATAGTAATAACTCCAGCTAAACTTGGGAGCAAAAGAAGTAATGCTGCAGTAATAAAAAAGATCATGCAAATATTGGCATACAGTCTATGGTTATGCTTCTGTTTGTATATTGGTTGTGGCAATTAAAAAATTTGCTGCTGGGATTAAAGAAACTCCAGCCAATGAAGGGAGAAAATTCCTAGGTGTACAGAAGTGTTGAGGAATAAAGTAAAGTCAAAATTTGATGTTTACACAAGGAAAGGCTATATCTGAGGTTTTAACATATGAGAGATGAATCGATTACTAAATCCTCAGATTATAATTGGTACAGTATTATTATAAAATTAGTGCAAAGGCATGTGCAGTGACAAATATGTCATAAATTTCATCGTCTCCAATTAATCTCCCTGGCTGGTCTACTTTTGCTTAGATAATTAAGCTCAAAGAGGTGCCTACTATCCCTGATCATGTGCTGAAGATAAAATATAAGGTTTCAATATAATTATGGTTTGTTAAAAAGAATTGTCCAGCGAGTTCTTTATAACTGTTATTATGATTACACGAGTCATTGATAATAGCTTTGAAGAGACATGAGATAGATCTTGCCACAGTTATGTTGGTGTGAGATTCATCCGTAAAATCCTGCACTTAGTCATGGTTGTCCCATGCTAACCTCCTTTGTGTAGGGAAAGGTTGGAAGGAGGGGGGTAAAAAAGAAAAAGGTTTTGTATGTGAGGGGCTTGGACATCCAGCAAGTGTGTGTGCATGTTAGATAGGAGTGATTAGAGGCAAATGGTTTTTGAGACGTGACGAGCTGTTGGAGTGTGAGCAAGGTAACAATTTGCGAAGAGATTCAGGGAAACAAGTTAGCTGGACTCAAGTTGTGGAGGTGGGAAATTACAATGCTTGGACACTGAAGGAGGGGTGGGGATATTTACAGTTTGGAGGGATATCTGAACTAGCATTGGCATGGTTCTGGCAAGAGAGTGATGGAATGAATGATGGTGAAAGTGGGAGACAGCCATTGTATTATGTTTCTGCACTGAGAATTTCAGTCAGATTTTTCCCTCCATTTTCAGGTTGCCAAAGGCCTAGGACTAATGTGTGTGGGTTGGATTTTCACGGATCTCGTTCCCCTTGATTCAAACAATGGGACAGTACGATACCTCCGGCATGCAGATACTTACTTTCTCTCCGCACACGAAGTTATCACAGCTGCTCACTTACAGACACTTCACCCTAACCCCTGCAGGCTGTCATGCGAGGGCAAATATGGTTCAAAATTTGTCACAGTCATAGTAACAGGGGACAAGAACAACCAGGTTAGTACTGTAGCAGAAGAGATGTAATGTGTGGCAGCTGATCATGCTACTACTACTATACATATTGAATAGCATTGCAATATTTTTTGTATTTTGTAGTGACAATTGCTATTAACTTATATAAAATATATAATGCTATGAGTCCTTCTACTTCAGATAGTGGCATGTAAATAAAAGCAAAATTTCTGGTTACTCTAATACCACAAGCAAGTTGACCGATAGCTCTTCCTCATTCACGAAAGCACATTTTGAAAAATAAAAATAGCTCATTCTTATGTTGACATTTCATATTTTTGGTTCTGTAAATTGCCTGTACCAGTGCCCTTTCTGTTTTTCTTAATATTTTATGCTTTCCTACTTAATATACAGTAGTTTGATGCTGTCAACATTTGCCTATAGGTGCACATGGAAGGCTATCAAGTAAGCAATCAGTGTCAGTCTGTGGTGAGGGACAAGTGCCTCATACCTACCAAAGATGCTCCAGAGCTGGCATATATTCGTGAATCTTCTTCAGAGCAGTACGTCCCGGATGTTTACTTCAAGGTATGTTACTTATGTTTTACTTTTTTAGCTATTTCCCACCTAGACAGAATAATCAAAAGAAGAAATCCTTCACTACTACTAGTTTATACTGTGTGTGTGTGTGTGTACGTACAGTAAGGCCCCGCTTTACGGCGTTTCGCCTTACGGCGTTCCGCTAATACGGCGATGTCAAATTATGACCAAAATTTGCTATACGGCAAGCGGTCTTTCAAATACAGCGCCCCCACCCAGTTTGCTTACATTTTCCGTGACCACATCTATTATGTCAGGAAACTTTCCAAAATTTCAAGTGTTTTAAAGTTACTGCATATTTTATATGTTTTTTTTTTTTTTTTTCCAACAAGTCGGTCGTCTCCCACCGAGGCAGGGTGACCCAAAAAAGAAAGAAAATCCCCAAAAAGAAAATACTTTCATCATCATTCAACACTTTCACCACACTCACACATTATCACTGGAACAGAATTCTTCCTCCGTAAGCCATGCGTGTTGTAAGAGGCGACTAAAATGCCGGGAGCAAGGGGCTAGTAACCCTTTCTCCTGTATATATTACTAAATGTAAAAGGAGAAACTTTTGTTTTTCCTTTTGGGCCACCCCGCCTCGGTGGGATACGACCGGTGTGTTGAAAGAAAGAATATATATATATATATATATATATATATATATAATATATATATTATATATAAAAAATATATATATATATATATATATATACACACACACACACACACACCACACACACACACACACATGGAGGACCAAGCAGGGATAACAGGGAAGGCACTACAATGGATCAGGGAATACTTGTCAGGAAGACAGCAGCGAGTCATGGTACGTTGGCGAGGTGTCAGAGTGGGCACCTGTGACCAGCGGGTCCCGCAGGGGTCAGTCCAGGACCAGTGCTGTTTCTGGTATTTGTGAACGACATGACGGAAGGAATAGACTCTGAGGTGTCCCTGTTTGCAGATGACGTGAAGTTGATGAGAAGAATACACTCGATCGAAGACCAGGCAGAACTACAAAGGGATCTGGACAGCTGCAGACCTGGTCCAGCAATTGGCTCCTGGAGTTCAATCCCACCAAGTGCAAAGTCATGAAGATTGGGGAAGGGCAAAGAAGGCCGCAGACGGAGTACAGTCTAGGGGTCAGAGACTACAAACCTCACTCAAGGAAAAAGATCTTGGGGTGAGTATAACACACCAGGCACATCTCCTGAAGCGCACATCAACCAAATAACTGCTGCAGCATATGGGCGCCTAGCAAACCTCAGAACAGCATTCCGACATCTTAATAAGGAATCGTTCAGGACCCTGTACACCGTATACGTTAGGCCCATATTGGAGTATGCGGCACCAGTTTGGAACCCACACCTAGCCAAGCACGTAAAGAAGCTAGAGAAAGTGCAAAGGTTTGCAACAAGACTAGTCCCAGAGCTAAGAGGTATGTCCTACGAGGAGAGGTTAAGGGAAATCAACCTGACGACACTGGAGGACAGGAGAGATAGGGGGGACATGATAACGACATACAAAATACTGAGGGGAATTGACAAGGTGGACAAAGACAGGATGTTCCAGAGATTGGACACAGTAACAAGGGGACACAGTTGGAAGCTAAAGACACAGATGAATCACAGGGATGTTAGGAAGTATTTCTTCAGCCACAGAGTAGTCAGTAAGTGGAATAGTTTGGGAAGCGATGTAGTGGAGGCAGGATCCATACATAGCTTTAAGCAGAGGTATGATAAAGCTCACGGCTCGGGGAGAGTGACCTAGTAGTGATCAGTGAAGAGGCGGGGCCAGGAGCTCGGACTCGACCCCCGCAACCTCAACTAGGTGAGTACAACTAGGTGAGTACGTACACACACACACACACACACACACACACACACACACACACACACACACACACACACAACACACACACACACACACACACACACACACACACACACACACACACACACACACACACACACACTCGCAGGACTCGCAGGAACCAAGGATCAGATGAGAATGGTTCGGGTAGGGAGGAGTGGATGGAGGAGCAGTGGAAGAGGATGGAACAAGAGTGGGAGAGAAAATTAGGAGAGCTTTCTGAAAAAATGGAGAAAGAGCTCTCTGTGAAATTGGAAAGGAGGTTGGAGCAGGAAACAAAGAATTGGGAGGCACAAGTCGAAACTGCAGTAGCCAAGATAAGGGTCCTAGAAGTTGAGATAAATAGGCTGGAGCGAGTTACAGGGGCAGTGACCAGAGAAGACACAGCATATGAAGCTGCGAGGCTGAACAGGAAGGAAGGAATTATGAATTATGCTAAGGTCACATCAATCTGCCAAGGAGGACCAAGGAGTGAAAGGGAAGATCAGCTGGTTGCAGATGGAGAGGGTGATAGGTCGAATGCTGAGGCACAACAAGGCTATCAAGAGCCACTGGAAAAATCAAGGGAGAAACTGACCACATACAGGCAGGATCCAGAGTCACAGAGGGTGAGGCAATGGGAGGAAGAAAGGGCAAAATCAGTGTTTATCCATGGGCTTCAGGAGAGAGAGGAAAGGACACACACTGAAAGGAAGCAGGAAGAAGGAAAGGAGATTGAGAAAATCATCACGGAAATAGGTGAAGAGATGGACGAGTTTGTAAATTTTCAGAGAAGGGGGGGGTACTCGAAGGGGAAAAACCGACCAATCAAGGATTCTCAGGAGGGAAACAGTGCGGAACGGGATCCCCAAGAGAAACCACGATTAAAATACTGGGAAAAGAGTACAAGAGAGTGTTCCTAGACAGAGACAAACAAAATCAGAACGACAGCGCTGAGGGAGGGGAAAAAAAAACAAAAGGGGAGCTGGGAAAAGAGACAAGGGGGAATCAGCAAGGTCGTCGGCGGGACGAACACAAGGCAAGCACACCACAATACTCTCGAACCATACAACCTATCACCCATCCCAACACACACTACAACCCATCCCCACAGCCTCCCCCCAAAACACGAGCATAGAACCCCACAGTATGCCCCAGGTTCCCCCCCCACGGGCCCCCCAAACCACAGTGTTGGAAAGGAAACTGAAGGTAGGGAAAACACAAACCTGATGGAATAAAAATAAGTGGAGGAGGGGCACAAAAGGGTCAAAGAACATCCCCCGGACTCTAGTCTTTACAGAAACCAAGCTTCAGGTATGATAACGATGCCACTTTCCAAGGGATACCAAAATCCTGGGAAAAGACAAGGAACAGGGGGGGGGGGGGCGTTGCTGATCAAAAATCGCGGAATTTGATGAGCTGGAGAGGGGAGATACGGAGAAAAAGTGTTACATGTGGGAACCTTCACTCTGGAGGCCCCAAGGGTGGAAAGCAGGATGTAAACCCACCACAGAAAGCAGGAGGCCAAGGCAAAGTACGACGAAGCAATAGAGCGATGGTTGAACACGGCAAGGGGCCCAAAAAGCTCATGCATGCAGGGCAAAGCCCTGATCAGGGGTGATTTTAAACCAAAGGAGATCGATTGGAAACTTGGACCCCACAGGGGGCCAAGATACATGAGGGCTAAGATGATGGAGGGGGGACTGGGAATTTTCAGTCAACACTAAGGGACATACAAGAGGAGGGGGAGGGGGAAAAACCCCAGCAAGGCTGGACTTAGTATTCACCTTCATAGTCAGTTCGAGGACATCGCATATGAAAGCCCCCTTGGGGCCAGTGACCATATGGTTTTTAAGCTTCGAATACCAGTAAAACTACAAGGGGGGGGGGAGAACGGAAGGGCCAGGACGAAGAACCCAAACTACAAAAAAGGGGACTACACAGGAATGGGAAACTACCTGAACGGGGTTCAGGGAACAGAGAACGGCAGGGAAGCCAGTTAAAGAATGATGGAATATGTAGCAACAAAATGCAAGGGGGCTGAGGAGAGGTTTTACCCAAGGGGAACAGGATAATGAAAAAGCCAGGGTGAGCCCATGGGTTTAAACCCAAAGGTGCAGGGAGGCAAAACCAAATGTGCTAGGGAATGGAAGAAATAAAAGGAAAAAAAACCCCGGAGTAAGGAGAACAGTCTAGAGCCAGAAACGAATAGCAAGTAAGAAGGGAGGCCCAAAGACAATATGAAAAAGACAAGCAGCGAAAGCCAAATCTGACCCCAAAATGTTGTAAGCCACATCAGGAGGGAAAAAAACAGTCAAGGACCCCGGGAATAGGCTAAGGGAAAAAGGAGGAGAGAAACAGGAAAAACCCTGAAGTAGTAAGAACTCAACAAAAGTTCAAAGAATTTTCACAGAGGAGAAGAAGGGGGTCCAGAAAGACGGAGAGGGGGGCACACCACCAAGTGCTGGGCACGTGCACACAACCCAGGAAGAAGGAAGAGGGTTCTGAGTGAGCTAGATACCCAAAAGGAATGGGCCAGTAAAAATCTCCCCCCTGGGTATTGAAGAGGGACAAGGTGCTAGTGTACCCCCAAAAACAATATTCAATCATCTATCGAAACAGGGGGTTGCCCGAGGCATGGAAACAGCAAATGTAGTCCCAATCTTTAAAAAAGGAGACAGACTAAGCACAAACTACAGACCAGTGCACTGAATGATAGATGCAAAATCAGAGAAGATTTCAGGGGAAGATGGTGGAACACCTAGAAAGGAACGATCTCATCAAAAGCACCAGCTGGTTTCAGGACGGGAAAACCTGTGTACAAACCCCCCTTTGGGGTTTTTAGACTGGTGACAGCAGTAAGACAAGAGAGAGAGGGGTGGGTGGATTGATTTTTGGACTGCAAGAAGGCGTTTTAAACCCGTTCCACCAAGAATTTTGGGCAAAAACTGGGGGACCCAAACAGGGTAACAGGGGAAAGGGACTACAATGGATCAGGGGTACTTGTCAGAAGACAGCAGCGAGTCATGTACGTGGCGAGGTGTCAGAGTGGGCACCTTGGGGCCAGCGGGGGGCCCCCCAGGGTCGTCCTAGGGCCGTGCTGTTCCCGGTATTTTTGAACGACATGACGGAAGGAATAGACTCTGGGT